TGTGAAGAGTTGTTTGATGTCATCTTTTTCTTTACTTCCAAGTGACAGGAGTGGTGTACCCTAGGGTATGAAGCCACCATTCACATGCTTCAAATCCTGATATGCATCTCCAAAGGCTACTGTGTTTATTTATTCCATATAACAAGTAGAAGCATTTATTGCAAGTTCTAAACACTTTATAAATATTATACACTTAATCTTCATAACACCACCGTTACTTTCATGACCGCTGGTTTCTTCAGCTAGTTCTTGCTTCACATGGATTTGGTGCTCAGGTCCCCACTACCCACCCACCCCACCCCAATTCTGGCTGCCACCTCTCAACAGGTTCCAAAGTCTCACCATAGTTTCCTATCCTATTGTTCTTGGGAGCTGAGGACAAAAGCCTCAGCTGGCTCACTCTCTCCTTCTCAGACCCAGACACTCTAGCTTCCGAGATTGATCCCGAAGACTGAACAAGGCATTCTCTGATTTTCAAGCTAGGTTAGGAACTAGAGGCAGCTCTGCTCTGGAAAGTCCGAGAAATGAGGAGTGAGATTTAAAATAAAGAACTCAAGGGGACTTCCCTGGTGGTCCAGAGGTTAAGAATCTGCCTTCTAATGCAGAGGACATAGGTTCAATCCCTGGTTGGGGAACTATTAATGAAATCCCACCTGCCTCAGAGCAAATAACCCCAAGTGCCTCAACAAAGACCCAGTGCAGCCAAAAAATAAATAAAATAAAAGGACTTGAGCTATGCATGAAAGAAGTTCAAGTGAATACACAGTAAAGGGACTGTGAACACAGAGGAGGCACTCTTTGCCCCAGTCTCCCTCCCTGGCCAGCTGTATATTCAAGGAGCCACCAGAATGGACGAACAAAAACTGGGGGCCAGAGCCATTCCCAGCTCCCATACTTACTACTGGGTAAATAAGGGTTATTTCTCAAGCTTTTCTGGCCATCAGTGATGCTATCTGTAGAGGGCGAACCATGAGTAACTCAAGAAGTTGAGAGTCCCTCTGAGACAGCGCACATCCAACCACTCTGCACATCTACACAGCCAGGCAAACACACAAGACCTCAGGGCAGCAGCCTGCCAAGAGGATCACCAATGGGTACTGATCAGCCAGGCCAGGTCCTTTCTGTTCCGTGCAGCTCAGAGAGGATGTGACCTCCCAGAGCACACAGTTGGGGCAGACCACACTGCCTCTCACCCTCTGCCTCCCCAGGCACAATCCTTCCCACCTCCTTGGGGGGACTGCCTCTCTGCAGGACAGCCTGGTGTGTCTGCTCCCCCACTTCCCACAGGACTCCTGGAAGAGCCATCCAGGAGGGGGTGTCCACTGCCTGAGCCTCAGTTCCTGGACTGAAGACAGTACCAGTAATAGAGACACAAATAAGACAAAGAAGCCCAACAGTCATTAGGAAGAAAATACCCTCACTCCTTAGCCCACAGACTCCCACCCAGGTGCCCGCTCTGTGGCTAACCGCACACCTTGGCCAACCTTTCCCATGCTTTCAACAACCTGAGAAAACTCTGGAAGCTTGAGGGGGGAATAAGACCAGTGGTCCTGGGGCAGTGCCAGCAGAATCACACTGCAAACCAGACGCTGAGAACAGACATTCTTAAAGGCCCTCTGGTCACCCATCTGAAGAGTCCACTAGCCGTCCGTCTGGCCAACAGTAGCTGCAACCATCTTTCTTCTATTGAAGTGAAATGTGTCTCTTTAGAACTCCCAGCCCTGAATCCACTTAACGATCTCCCTTTTTCCAGATGGGACTCCAGAGATTGGGGACTAGTGGCTTTGTTCCCCCCACACACACACATTTGCAAGACAAACATTCCCTTCCCCCAAATAATTACTAAAAATGACTGCTATAATTTCTATGGCCTTCCCCTGCTTCAAACACAATCAGATGTGCTGTGGTTAAGAATAAGGTGGACAAAGAGCCTGAAGGGATGGGCCCACCCTAGAACCCTGCAGCTCTGGGACCTTCAACCATCCTCTCCTCCACATGTGTCCTGAAGACACAGCGTGGGAAGGTAGGAAGCAGTGCCCATTCCACTTGGGAGCTCTGCTTTGCACGGGAGCCAACCTCAACTGCTGGGTCCCTACAAGCTGCACCGACTACATGGATGGGGAGTGCCCTGCCCTGGTGATTGTCAGAAACAGTTAAGAGGTGAACACCCCACCTGAGTGCAGGACAGGCCATCAGGAGGCCCATTCCCAGCACCCAAGCCCCAACTCCACCCTTCACTGCGCACCAGCAGTCCCTGCCAAGCCCTCAGGGCAAGTCCTCTGGAGACAGCCAGAGGGTTGCTGCCAAGACAATAAGCCATGAACCAGGTGTGACTGATTTTTAGAAGTAAAGCTCAGGAGGAGAAATGGGTTCTGACTGAGGCAGTGTTTAGACAGAGGATATTCTTAATCGTTCCAGATACATGTTGAAGTCCAAAAATAGATACTTTTTCCCCCAAAGCCAAGCTTATATGCAATAGCTTTTCTCATGAGTATTTTTTATATAACCAGAAATCTCTCTTAGAACCCCTGGAACATAACAATGAACACAGGAGAAAGGAGGAACGACTTTACATTTTCTCTCTTTTTAACAGAGGAGACTTTTATTAAGAGCCCCGTGGTCCCAGTGGGAAGCCACCTCCTCCTCCCCTCCCCTCTATGCTCTGAGTCCACATTCCCAGACTGTTTCTTGGGAGAGGAGGAGTCTCAGACACCAGCGGGCATCAGCACCCATGCTCATGTCTCATGGACAGCGCACATTTGTTGGCTTGATCTTCATACATATCCCATGCAGTCGATGTTATGGTCACAGATGAGGAATTGAAAGGAAACACCCAAGCTCACAAAGCTGCTAGGTTCTAGAGAGGGCCCCAGATCTTCAGACTCCTGGTCCACATTGCTCTTTGGATTATAGTTCAACAACGCAGCCAAATGTGTTTGACAGAAGGGAAGAAATACAATCATAGGAGTCCTTTTCACACCTGAATTTTTCACCTAAAATTCAACTAAATTAATGATGAATGCTTACCCCAGGAAAGAAAAGATTTACATTAGGATTGTGATCAGTTGCATTATTGGCTCAAATTCTCCTCCCCTCCCTGTCTTCACACTGTTTGACACATGGCTTTGCAGTTCCTCACATGAAAGGAGCAGAACATTTTTCCCACCTTCTCAACTCTGTGACACATTGTGGCCAATGGCAGGAGGTGAAAGCGATAGCATGCTGGTTTGGAGGCTAGACTTCAAGAGCCTGGCATGCTGCCACTTGCTTTCTGGCTCCTGAGAAGAGCATGCCCAGGCTGGCCCGACAGCCCAAAGAGGAGCATGAGAGCTACACGGAGCAGAATCCCCCCGCCCCAGTGATGATGCCCAGCCAAGATCAGCCAAGAGCAGAGCCCCAGCCAACCTGCAGCAGTGACTCCCTAACAGCTGACTGGGGGCAGGAGGTTGCTCCTCTAGTAGAGATTAGCAAGGGGGAGCCCCACTAAGAAGGCTATAGGGAATTGCTACAACGGGAAAGCAGCTGGACCACACCGGGCCTTCCAGACTTTGGGATTTCAGGTATAAGTTATTAATAAAAAGCCTCTGGAGGAGGAAATGGCAACCCACTCCAGTATTCTTGTCTGGAGAATCCCACGGACAGAGGAGACTGGCAGGCTACAATCCATAGCGTTGCAAATAGTAGGACATGACTTAGCTACTAAAAAACAACAACAAATCAAAGAAAAAGTGTGGAAACCAACCACGGGATTCCTCCCTTTTTGCTTTTCTGAGCAAAGGCCATATATAAAAAAATAACCACTGCTTACTATCACCATCAATTCATAAGAGACAGGACATGTTAACACTGAAACTGAGGAGAGGATATGATCTTTGAATATGACACAGTCCTTTCCAAGCAAAGATGGCTGGCCACCCTCCATATATGAGCTTTTTTCTTTCCTCTTGTCACAGATCAATGAAAACTTTGTCACTAAATAGCTCAGGTCCATGTATTAGCAATGTTTCTGCACGCTTTATGGTAGAACTCTCAGAAGAACACAGAATCAGTTATGTGAATTGCAAGACTTAAATCTCATTTCTGTTTGCTCTGTGACAATATAAAAATTACATTTTAAAAACTGGGATAAAAAATAAAGCTAAAGATAAATTTGAGGTCCTCTGCCATGTCTTCTCCACTGGCAGAGCAGCCAATGGCCCTGACAAACCCCCACCTCAACAAAATTTTTTGAGTCACACACTATGCAGGTGACTAAGATGCTGGTTTTGTGCTTCCATGATTACAATAATGTATGAATAAAAAGGAAAGCATTGATCCCAATGGAAGCTCTCCCAGGGGCTACAGGGACACATAACTGAGACAGAAGTTACAGGCAGGGAATCCCTGGGACCAGCTCCAGGTACACATAATGAGGTCACACATAAACATTGGCTGTCTTCTTTCTGAGCCATAAAGAGCCCCTCCATCCTTCTGTTGAGTATATGGAGGCCCAGGAGAAGGAAGGGGGTCATAATGCCCAGAGAGAAATGCCTCTGAGGGGCCCTTGAAGGCCAGGCAGGTTGTTAGGTGAGGGCAGTGGGCAAGAGTCCTGTTCATCCCTTCCCATCAGAGAGAGCAGTGCACGTCTGGAGCCCTGGGGGCCTGTGGCCCCCGGACTCCCGCACAGAGATGTTAAGCCGTGGTCTCTAACGGTCTCTGTGAAGGTCACTCAGTGTTTCAGCACATGCCATGGGGACATCGAAGCCTGTGCCTCTAGCTCAGCACGTTCAGTGAGCACAGAAAGGCCAGACACCAGACCTCTCTCCACTCCCCTCTCTGCAGACGACCAGGAGCATTGAGCCTTAGCCCTGGGAGACCGCCTGTCTTTGTGGGGCCAGAGCAGAATTAGCAGAGTCTAACGTCCTCACTCCCCTGATTGCAGCGGTCCCTGACTCTGCCCCAACCCCAGAGGGAGGCCGAGATGTGGGAACCTGCCCCAGGGACCTGGAAAGTCAGCCTACCGTGGAACCAGGGGGCGATGGCTTTGGTGTTCCTCTCGAAGCCTGCTCGGCGAGGCAGCTGCTCCTCCTTAAACCAGCGGACTATGACTTCTCTGGAGACGGGGCGCAGGGGCCGCTCCCAGGTCCTGCTGAGACAGAGACCACCGAAGTGTGGGAGAGGCATGAGGCAGGGGGCAGGGGCCGGGGCAGGAAGGAGGGGGAGGGAGCCGGGAAGACCACTGTGAACAAGCCTGATGCCCACACGCACGCTTGTGGAAAGGATTAAATAAATCCAGGTACTTGAGGGCACTTTGCAGATTATAAGGTACCAGCTGTTCATATTTTTCCCCAAAAGAAAACTGTTATCACTTGCTTTGGGGGAAAAAAGGCTACTAGCATAACATTGTAAAGCTACTATACTCCAGTAAAAAAAATTTTTTTAAAGGAGGGGGACTTTCCTGGCAGCCCGGTGGTTCAGTAGTTAAGACTCCATGCTCCCAATCCAGGAGTGGGGTGGGGTTCCTCAGGTTCAGTCCCTGGTTTGGGAACTGGGATCCCGCCTGTTGCCTGGTAAGGCCAACATTTCTTTTAACATAAAAAAAAGTCACACAAGTGCAAGCGGGAAATAGGACGGGAGGGGATGTCTGAGGGAGAGAAAAGGCCAGGGCATAAACAGCAGAATCTATGAAGAAGGATCCTAATGTAACACCAGCAAAATCATTATCTGTGCGTGTCCTCCACCCTCCCCAAACCCCCACTGAAGACGATGCTGGTTTTGCCTCTCTCCATCTCCCCGCCCATCTCCCCTGACACTGCCACCTAAGGGGACACCTGTCTTGGCCAACTAGCTTTCTTGATTTATGATGCAGTATCAGGACAGGGAACAGCCTCAATCTGCTCTGAAAATGGCTGAGTTTCACCTCCAAAAAAATAAAAAGGAAAAGCACAAAGGAAAGAGAGCGGGGCAGGAACAAGGCAGTATACTGGCTGACTTTTGACCAGCGATCTGTGAGGGTCTGAAGACCCCTAGAGTGAGATGAACAGGGCCACTACGTGCATGCTTTCTGATATTTCCCACAAAAGCCCAGATTTTACTTGTTTTTGTGTCTGTACGGTGGCTCCTGGATGTATACAGAAATTCTGTTTTATTGGAGCCATACTAACACGAAGCCCAGTAAGGGTTTGACAGCATATGCCCCATAACAGCATGCACCACTGTTTGTGGATATGAAGCAAGATTTGTTGTTGTTGTTGTTTAGTCGCTAAGTCATGCCCAACTGTTTTGTGACCCCATGAACTGCAGCCCGCCAGGCTTCTCTGTCTTTGGGATTTTCCAGGCAAGAATACTGGAGTGGGTTGCCATTTCCTTCTTCAGGGGATCTTACCAACCCAGGGACGAAACTCATGTCTCCTGCACTGGCAGGGAGATTCTTTAACAGTTTAACACTGAATCACCAGGAAAGCTCATGTAGCAAAATTCCATTGCATTAATTTATGGTATGAAAGCAGAGCAGACTTTGGGCCCACCTTAAACAACTGTAACTTTTTCACCTTTCCACCTGAGTGATAGAAGCCTGGCAAATTCTCACTGTCATTGCTGTCTGGTCCACCTAATAGCGCTGGCATTTAGAATTCACCACCACTATCATCATCTCTTATAAAATAAACATCAGCTGTCCCCTCATGCAGTCATTGCATTTCCTCTGCACCAACAAAAATGGATGATGAGCCCAGGACTTCTTGGTAAACCCCAGAATGAGCTCGTATTTTTCTTGCCCTAGAATGAATCCATGTAACTCATGTGCAGTAGTGAACACTGCAGATTTTTTAAAAGATTCAATAAGAAAGACAGGGCTTCCCTAGTGTCTCAGACAGTAAACAATCCTCCTGTAATGCAGGAGACCTGGGTTCGATCCCTGGGTTGAGAAGATCCCCCAGAGAAGGGCATGGCAACCCACTCTAGTATTCTTGCCTGGAGAATTCCCATGGACAGAGGAGCCTGGTGGGCTACAGTCCATGGAGTCACAAAAAGCTGGACATGACTGAGCAACTAACACACAAGAAAGACAGAGGGTGAGGTTCCACTGAACAGCTCAAAGGCAGGATCAGTGGGGTCTGTTCTCCAAATCCCTTCCTCCCCACAGGCACCTCCACAAGCAGAGCCCCTCTAACCAGTTTTGCTCCCCTGTATCCACCCTTCAGGATTTCCCTCTTCTCAGGAACCTCAGAGTCCCCTTCTCTTTATGAAACAACAGTCCTGCCTCCAGCCTCTTCCTTCACACGTGCATTCCCCAGTAAATAACTATGCTTGGGGGAGTGGGGGGAAATCCTCTGGTTTCTAAGACTCATTCTCCTTAGAAGGCAAGAGGAGATTGTAAACGACAGCAAGGAAAATTCATTCACTCTTGTCCCTCTGTTTCCAAGTAAAGAATCTGATTCCCCAGAATGTAAATGCTAGGGCGAGGTGCTCCAAGAGGCCACCTGGCCAGAAGCCTTGCTCCTGCACCTGCAGCTCTCTCCTATCAACCATGTGTCTGCCCCCAGAACAGCCAGGCAAGCGTGTGCTGGCACCACAGTGCTGAGGGCAGTGAGGCCACAGGGACCTGTGCCATAGGGCAGCCACAGGAGGCTGATGCATGGCTTCCGGTGCCTGGGTCTGCCATTCCATCTGCCTGGTCCCCAGTCCCCCTACCCCCTCCAAGGTGGCTCGCTGTGGCTGTCCTTTCTCCCCTACTGACAGCTACACCCAGAGAGCCTGGAGCCAGACTGCAACAGTCCATGCAGCTCTGTCTTCTGGGCCTGAAGGACAAATTATTCGTCTCCTTAAAAAAAAAAAAAGCACAAGAGGAAAAAGACTTCTAACTATGTCTCTAAATCCAGTAAACATAAAAGAAACTCTGACTTCATAAAAATCAAGAATTCCTGCACGACAGAAAATGTTATCGTAAAAGTCAAAAGACAAATGACAGATTGAGGGGGAAAAAATGTTTTATCACAAAGAAAAGAATCTTTCCCCCTATATTTTAGGAGTTCCTAAAAATAGATCAACCCTGAATATTCACTGGAAGGGCTGTTGCTGAAGCTGAAGCTCCAATATTTTGGCCACCTGATGTGAAGAGCTGATTCATTGGAAACGATCCTAATGCCGGGAAAGATTGAAGGCAAAAGGAGAAGGCAGAGGATGAGATGGTTAGACAGCATCACTGACTCAGTGGACATGAATTTGAGCAAACTCCAGGAAACAGTGGAGGACAGAGGAGCCTGGTGTGCCATAGTCCATGGGGTTGCAAAGAGTTGGACACGACTCAGCAACTGAATAACAATAAACAAAAAAATAGATGACAAAAAGACCAATAACACAATGAAGAGGCAGGAAAGGAAGAGACAGGTATGGAAATATCAAAAACCCGTAAACATATACAAAATACTTCACCTCATGCATAAATAGAAATGCAGGTTTAAACTTTCACTGAGATATTATTTCTCACAAAAAACAAAAATCTGACAATATACTGCTGGCAAGGCTAAAGAATGAGAGTGTTCACTAGTACCATCTCTGTGGAGGACAAATTGAACTTAACTATCATTACTATAAATACATGTAGCCCTTAATCCAGTGGTCCCACTTTTGGGAATCTCTGTTGTAAATAATAGTTGCCTGAGTATAAAATTAATGTCTATAAGGTTACTTATTAAGGGCATTGTTGGTAATAACCAAAGGTCTCAAACAACACCACGACCCACCTGCCAGGCACGGCCAGGGGTGAAAGCGGCCCCGGGCCTGGGAGGCGGTGGTCGAGTCTCGCCTCCTGCTCATGGCTCTGGCCGAGCTCTTGGAACCTGGAGCTGAGTCCGGCAACGGTGCCCTTCTGGATGGCGTGGAGCGAGTGACGCTGGTACTCGTCCCGGGCGCGCTGGGCTCGGCGGCTCCTCTCCTCGTCAGCCGCCTTGGATCGGCGCACTGGAAAAGAAGAGGGGGCATGTTCACCACTGTACCCACTTCCCAAGCTTTCTTCCTTTTAAAATCATCTATTTCCAGGGACTTCCCTGGTGATCCAGTGGTTAAGAATCTGCCTTCCAGTGCAGGGGATGGGAGTCTGATCCCCGACCAGGGAACTAAGATCCCACCTGCCATGGGGCAACGAAGCCCAGACCCCAACTAGAGAAAAGGCCTGCGTGCCACAATGAAGATTCAGTGGAGCCAAAATTTAAAAAATAAATCAATAAAAAATAAAAATAAAATCAGGTGTTATCTGACACCTGAGCCCCTGCTGTTTCCTACAAAAAGCCACAAGAGCCCTTAAGGCCGTCCGTTACTCATCCCTCCTCACGTCACTCATGTGGAAACTGAGTTCCAAAGAAGGACATCACCTTGCCCAGCTGGGTCAGTGGGCAAGCCTGGCAGGGACCCATATGCCCTGCATATGGGGGTGAGTTATAGGAAACTCTGGAGTCCCGGCTCCAGTGCCCTTTCTCTTTGGTCTCCTGAGACCTTGACAGCTGGTGGGTGCATGTGTTGGAGGGAGGGAAGAAGGTGCTTCAGTAACTCTGTCACCACAGAGCTGCCGTGTCTGCCGTGACGCCCCTCTCACCAGCCTGTCTTTTCATGTTTCCTGAGGCAGGTTGGACATCTGCAAGTTGCTGCTTCTAAAACTCAAAAGGAAGTCCTGGATCTGGGAAAGTGCACAGAGTGAGGAAGACCTCTGAAGCACGGTCTAGAATTAAAACTGATTATTTTGTAGTCTGACTGCATCGAGTCAGGCCCCATCTGCCTCTAAAATCCAGTCCTTTTGTAGAGAAGTCCTGGAACTGGCAGTGTTCTCATTGCACAGGTCCAGGGGTTGCCTTGGCCCAAGCCTTAAGAAAAATCTTACCCGAAGTCTAAGTCTACTCCAAAGTCCATCCAACACCTGTATAGCACGCAACTACAACCTACCAATGCCAGAGAACTGTGTTCTGTTGGTGCTTGCAGGATACAAGGCAAATGGTCCTCACCCTTAAAGAAAGAGCTTCTTCTCCTCTTCAAGCAGTCAAAGTCCATTCTCCCAGATCTGAGAAAGGCAGCGGGAAGTCTGTCCCTCAGAAAGTATTTATAGAAGCGGAGGTCACATAGACTGAGAGTGCCAGGGTGGCGGAAGGGGAATTTTCTTTGGTCTATTCATTGCTGCATTCCAATGCCTAGCATACATATGCATCAGTCAGCAGGTGATACATATGCTTGAAGGACTGCACCCCATTAAGTATTTAACCCTGCCAGGCTCTGAGCTGAATATAGAAATAGCAAAGACAAGACGGTTCCCTCAGGACACTCAGAGTGTAGCTGGGAGAATAAGGCAAATAAATATATCTGCAGCGTAAGGAGAATAGGGACTCCACCAGTCTTGTCAGAGTTTAGGTGCTGCAGCACTCACATTTTGTGAGGGAGTCAGGAGCCACCACAGGAGACTGATCACCCCGCTGGGTCTGGAAAGGTCAACAGGAGCTTCTCCAGGGAAAGAAGAGGGAGGAATCCAGAAGAGGCAGGGGGCAGGGGCGGGAAGGGGGAGAAAAAACCTAACTTCAGTTCCTGGGACTAAGAACACCAGAATACCTGTCACCACAAAGTCTCCAGCGTGGGCTTTCCAGTCGCTAGACTACAGACCGAACATAGGAGCTTCTGCCCAGAAGGAGGGCTTCCCTGGTGGCTCGGTAGTAAAGAATCCACCTGCCAATGCAGGAGGCGCGGGTTTGATCCCTGGGTCGGGAAGATCCCCTGGAGAAGGAAATGGCAACGCACTCCAGTATTCTTGTCTGGGAAATCCAATGGACAGAGGAGCCTGATGGGCTACAGTCCATGGGTCGCAAAAGAGTCAGACATGACTTGGAGATTAAACAACGAAATCTCTTCAGGGGCCAGTGACCTTTGGGAGTTGACAGCCCTTGGGGGACAGCCCCAGTCAGTGATAGAAGGATGTCACATGCAAAGTGGGAAGACAGGCTTTGGGAACTCATCTAGTAGAGGGCACAGGCCGCGGGTCACACAGGGACTAAATCATGCCTCCCAAAGCCCAGCCCTGGTTTTGCCATTGTCTTCCTCAGAAGCCTTCAGTGGCTCCCAGTACTTGCAGGACAAAAGGCAAATCCCTTGGCCCTTAAGGAGCATCCCTTCCACCCGCTTTTCTCCAGCCCAATGGGCCTCTGAGCTTCTCCCCACCCTTTGTTCAAGTGCTACCAAGCTCCCCACCATTCTGCTAACTCTCCTCTGTGCAGCTGTGTCCACCAACTCAAAACCAGCTGTGATGCACATGCAGCCAGATCAGCTCAGAAATGCCAGGCAACAGTAGAGGGTACTCAGAGGTGAGGACATGGCCGAGGCTGCAAGCAGGAAGCCAGCCCTGCCACCCAGACTCGATTATGGAAAAGAGACTGATATGGAGTCAGACAGGGTCAGTGGCAGCTCCAGGAGGGCTTCTTGGGTCTTTTTCTCTTCTTGTGTTTCTTTCTTTTTCTTTTTCTTTGATACATAATTGATGTACATAAGCTTAAAGTGTTCTATGTGCTGATGTTGAGATACTTAATTTATTGCAAAATGATAATCACCATAGCATTAACTAACTCATTCATCAGTCACATCGTTACCATTTCTTTTTTGTGGAGAGAAATTGAGGATCCAGTCTCTTGGCAACTTGAGCTTCCCTGGTGGCTCAGATGGTAAGGAACCTGCCTGCAATGTGGGAGACCTGGGTTGGATCCCTGGGTTGGGAAGATCCCCTGGAGAATGGAATGGCTACACACACCAGTATTCTTGCCTGGAGAATTCCATGGACAGAAGAGCCTGGGGAGCTACAGCCCATGGGGTCCCAAAGAGTCAGACACCACTGAGTGATTCACTTTTTCACTTTCATTCTTGGCAACTTAGAAGTATGTAACATATTATTGTTGACTACAGTCACTAAGCTGTGCATTAGATCCCCAGAATTTATTCATCTTCTAATTTTGTACCCTTTGATCAACTTCTAACTCCTCCTCAACCCGCCACCCCTGGCCCAGGCCCTGGAAACCACCATTTTACTCTTTGTTTCTATGGGTTTGACTTTTTTAGATTTTATATATAAGTGAAATCTTGTAGTATGTTCCTTTGTCTTTTTTTCACTTAGCATAATCCCTAAAAGTCCATGTATGTATATGTATATATATATATATATATATATATATATATATATATATAGGGGTTCTTTATTCATCCGTTGGCAGATGCTCATGTTGTTTCTGCAGCTTGGCTATTGTGAATAATGTTTACTGTTGCAGTAAACATGAGACCACAGATATCGCTTTAATAGCCTGATTTTATTTCCTTTGTATATATATACCCAGAAGGAAGATTTCTGGGTCATACGGTAGCTTCATTTTTAATTTTTTTGAGGAACCTCCATAACGTTTGCCATAGTGACTGCATCGATTTATACTCTCACCAACAGTGCCCGGGATCCCCTTTCTCCAACCTTCATCAACACTCTATGCCAGCTTTCTTTTGAAAGTCCCTGAATGCCTCCAGGCCTCAGTGTTTACCTCTGTCAAAATAAGAATGATATGAGTGTCTGCCTCATTGAGTTATTATAAAGATTAAATGAAACATATAAAACACTATAAACGATGAACTGCTTTGGAAAAGCAATGTCTTACTAAATCAGGCTTCTGACCTTGATCTTTTCTTCAAATTTCTCAAAGCCTGATTCTGGAGCCAAGCTGCCTGGGTTCAGATCTCAACTTCATTTACCAGCTGTGTAACAGTGGACAAGTTAGTTAATCACCCTGGGCCCCCATTTTCTCAAAAGTAAAATGGACATAATAATGGTCCCTACCTCATAAAGTTGCTATGAATTTATTATGAAATTAATAATATAAATCAATTAACAATTGTGTCAGGTACATTTTGAGCACCATGGTGTTAGCTAAAGCTTTTATTTTCATTGCAAGTGAAAAAGGTGAAAGTTTTCACTGCTCAGTCATGTCTTTGAGACTTTTGCCACCCCATGAACTATAGCCCACCAGTTTCCTCAGTCCAGAGAATTCTCCAGGCAAGAACACTGGAGTGGGGGGCATTCAGTTCAGTTCAGTTCAGTTCAGTTGCTCAGTCGTGTCCGACTCTTTGCGACCCCATGAATTGCAGCACTCCAGGCCTCCCTGTCCATCACCAACTCCCGGAGTTTACTCAAACTCATGTCCATCGAGTCGGTGACACCATCCAGCCATCTCATCCTCTGTCAACCCCTTCTCCTCCTGCCCCTAATCCCTCCCAGCATCAGGGTCTTTTCCAATGAGTCAACTCTTCGCATGAGGTGGCCAAAGTACTGGAGTTTCAGCTTCAGCATCAGTCCTTCCAATGAACACCCAGGACTGATCTCCTTTCGGATGGACTGGTTGGCTCTCCTTGCAGCCCAAGGGACTCCCAAGAGTCTTCTGGTGGGGGACACTAGCCCTGTCAAAATGCAGACATGAGCAGTTCTCAGGCAGTCCCGGAGCGGGCACCCCTGATGCTCAATGGCGTGGATTCTGGGTCTGTTTACAAGCAGCTTGTGGATCCTAAGTTCCCCAGCCAGGATAGTGAAAGCCTAACCACTGGACTGCCAGGGAACTCCCAGCTTTCCCTAAGGTAAGCTTTGAAATCTTCAAAGGTTGCTTCTGTTCCTTCTCTGAATCTGGGATAGCTTCAGACTGTATCATGTGAATCTGCCGTGGAAACCCTCAGCTGGAACTCAACGTATTTTTTCTTCTATCCCAGTGAAAACAACCACAAGCATCTTTGGCCCTGAGGCGGCAAGTATCAGACTGTCTTATACCCCAGAGGATGCCAGTGCAGAGGTGGGGCCCCAACCAAGTCAGCTTCGCTTTCTCCCACGGCCCGAGCTCCAGTCCAGGATGACTTCCCACGGGACTGTCCAGCAGGCACAGCAAGGGCCTGCACTGCACGCAGAACAGAGG